GGGGGTGGGCACAAGGGGTGAAGGGAGACATATATTTGGTGATGGACAAACAAAAATGTACAACCCAAAATTTCACAATGTTAAAAACTATTAAAACATCAATAAATAAAAAAAAAAAAGCAGATTCCTGAGCCTCACTCTTTGAGAATCGGATGGAAGGGTGTGCAGATGTTACTTTTAGAAACACTCTGGTGCCAGACACCAGAGACACAAGAATATAACCTCTCCACCAAAGAGATCACAATCTAGTTGAAGGAGATCAACTTACCTACGTAATTACTGCCTAATACGGTAAGTCAGATGATAGCAGGGTGCTCTGGAAGTAAGAGAAAGGGAACCTAGTCCAACCCAGGGTGGAGGCTGAGAGAGGCTGAAAGGAGTCTTCGTGAGGAGGAGCTAGCCAGGGGAAAGGTGAGGGGCAAGGAGGAGGGGATAGACAGGCTGGGAGAAGGGGAGTAGGTCTTTGCAGCAGAAGGACTTGAGGGGAGAAAGAGCATGTGCTTGAAATTTAAGCAAGAGAGTATCACTGAAGTATCCTGGGCTCCTTTACATAACTCCCACAAATCACTAACAAATCCTTTCTTTCCCTTGGAAGGATCCTTTATTTTCCATTATTTATAATTTCTTCTCCCTGCTGATTTCTTGGCCAACTCCATACCCTCCTTTGGAAAAAACTTTGTGTAGGACTACATTTGAGAGGGAAAAACGAAAGTAATAATTATATTTGAGATTTACAATGTGCAAAGCATCACTTTGTAAACTCCAAATTGCTATATAAATGTGAGTTATCATTACTTCAACAAGAATATCCTCATGATGAATCAGGAGGCATGTAGCTATTCATGCATTCACTCACTCAGTTTACATTTATCATGTGCATAGTCTATGCCAGCTTTATGCTAGGTCCCCTGGGTACAAAGATGAGGAAGACACAGCCTCTACTTTATTTTTTTTATTTTTATTTTTTTTAAGATTTTATTTATTTATTTTTTCCCCCCAAAGCCCCAGTAGATAGTTGTATGTCATAGCTGCACATCCTTCTAGTTGCTGTACGTGGGACTTGGCCTCAGGATGGCCGGACAAGTGGTGCCTCGGTGCGTGCCCTGGATCCAAACCCGGGCCACCAGCAGCGGAGCACTC